GCAGCCCCAAGTTCACCTCGGAGACGGACATAAGCTGTAATTATTACTCCTCCAAGGCTCATATTAGAGGACATATGTTATCTGTGATAAAGAATAAAGACAGCACGTGTGTTGAGCTGATGAGAACCACTGATCTGTATTTATACATTGTATTGTTGATTGCCTGAAAAAAGTGCAGCCACCGTCTGCCATGCTGGTACTCCCCACTCCCACGGAGACACGCATTAAAAATGCCAAAATGTGTAGCATTTGGCTGCAAAAACAAGCAGTTTGCCTGCTGTAGGAAGACATTCCTCATGTAATTTCACAGTCAGTGGATGTACTAACCTAGAAAATCGATGTATCCTATAGTATAGTATGTAGTGTAACATCTGTTACAGTCTGGCTATGTCGGACTGACTCGAAGATATAGGGTAAATTAACCTTTGACATTGTGACTAACGTAAGTAAATAGAAAGTAATTCACTGTGAAATGGCAATGTAGTTATTCTTTATTAAGTGGATGATGATTTTGTTGTTTATTTTTGTAGAGTTATTTCTTTTTTCCATTTGAAAAAGTGATGTGCTGAAATATATTGCATGTTTTATTGACGGAAAAAAAAACAACTCAAACATTCGACCACATATACACACACACATATACATATATATGTATGTATATGTGTGTGTGTATATACAGTGGGGCAAAAAAGTATTTAGTCAGCCACCAATAGTGCAAGTTCTCCCACTTAAAAAGATGAGAGAGGCCGGTANAGGAAAACTGCAAAACTTTAAACTGGCTCCATCCAGGAGCCAGGATCACGGGAATTCAAACTGGCTCTCTCCACAATCCAAGCCAAAATCGAGTGGGCTCCACGGAGAAGAGCCAGGACCTGAGCTCCCCCCGCCTTGCTGAGCCAAACATGACCAGCCAGGACACGATTAGGAGACAGTAGACAAACACTAAACAGTCTCGTCACACAGGCCCCCAAGAGTCAGGACATGAACCACGGACTTAACTAAAAATCTAACTTAAACAAACAAACATGAATAGCTAATGATCTGGCCCCGATAAGTGTGCTGAACTGTATATAAAGCAGAAGGAGCAGGTGAATAAGATGAATGATAATTAGAGAGCAGGGAGGGTACGTGTAGTGGGGGAAAAAGTATTCAACTATTCACCCTAGTTAAATAAACGGATATCGATGCATTTCATTCAGTCGGATCTTTATTTTCGTATCTTCGCAAAGAGAGAACAGTTCATCATACAGTCCCTACGGCACAGTGATTGGCCCTATTCTGACTAGACAGAGTTTGTCTCCCTTACTTATGTTGATGAAAAAACTGTGAAGGTTGTGTCAGAGTAAAAACAAATCACACACACTTTAACAAACCTTGAGAAACAATTTGGCTTGTTGTGTGAATAAGTATGTTTTATCTAAAACCAGCCCTCACTAAGACATTTTTTCAGCCCTGAAGGTGAAACAAACAGAGTATAAACATTTTTCACTGGATAAATAGCATAACTAAATCTGTAAGACAAGAGAAATCGAAAATTTCTGACCACAATACAGCAGGTGAATGAAGTGATACATTAGATCAGCTACTGGGGTGCGATCATGACAAATAAGGCCTGTCTAACTGCAGTTTTAGATACTTGCAAAAGAATAATGGGGCTCTGTTTTAAATCAGAATAGGCTGCCTGACTTGTCACATGTCTTATCTTAATAGCACTAAAGCATTCTACCTACTTACAATTACAATGTCCCTATCAAAATTGTATGTTAGAGTAATAATTTCATTTCTACCAGTATAAATTACATTATAAGTAATCCGGAGTCACATGTGAACTAGTAAGAACTACATTTCAAATATCTACAAATCTTTACTTATTTTAATTGGCCGTTTTAACATATATTTTCTTGAAAATATATTGACATATCTGAAATATGTATTTCAGATATCTTAGATAGTATTCTTCCTATCTAAAAGGAACATTTTAGATATCTGAAATGTAATTCTTACTAGTCCAAATGATCACACTTTTCCCTATTCATGTGTATTGGGCTGTTACTTGCACATATCCAAAACATTACTCCTATCTAAAATAAACATTATGCTCAGATGGATACAGTCAGACCCACTGGTTGTGAGTAACAGAGACAAGACCTGGTACCAGGAAAACTGCAAAACTTTAAACTGGCTCCATCCAGGAGCCAGGATCACGGGAATTCAAACTGGCTCTCTCCGCAATCCGAGCCAAAATCGAGTGGGCTCCACGGAGAAGAGCCAGGACCTGAGCTCCCCCCGCCAGTGTCCATATTTCATCTTGACATGATGACCAGAGAAGAGGATAAAGTTTGGCTCACAAGCTGCTTTAAGATCCCTGCAAGACACATGGCAAGTCACAGAGGTATGACCAACCAACCCACCTCTGTGTCAGGACAGAGCCAGACTGGATGAGAAAGGCTGCCCTCCTGTGAGCCCGAGACAAAGAGGAACCCTGCTGTGAGCCACTGAGACAATGAAACCTCTGGTTTCTCTGGCCCGACTGCTGAGCTGCAGCTGGATGAAACTCAAGCCTTCCAAATGGAAATGGACAAAAAGGTTTGCAGGTATGGCATGATTAGGGACAGAACAAACAATATGTCTTTTGATGATGTTGATCATTTCATGTGTTCACTGATGAGTAAGAACAAGAATAACAGGATGGACTGCATGCTACGCTATTCTATACAGTAACATGTGTTGAGCGGTTGCCTAAGCTTGGGCAAACTTTATTTCACTAAGGGTTTAAACACTGATATAACATTAGTGTTCATGTGTTTTCTCTTATGCTCATTACATTTCCATTACCAAGTAGCCTATGACTAAAAGTCATTTAATGGAATCCTGATGTCTATTTGCTGCTAGCTATTTCAAAGAGGGTAAAGAATCATTTCACTAAAAGTTATTGGTTCTCGATTTAGCAAATCATTTAATAAAACATTCTTTTGCCAAATAATGTTTTATTCTCCTCATGGAATAAAACATTATTCACATGGATTTGTGAATTGGTCTGAAAACATTCTAATTTCTCTAAATTAGTGACAAGCTAATTTGATCATATCCCAAATTCTTCCAGATAAACTTTCCATCTTAAACTGCTAATATGGTTTTACACCCTTTCCCCTTCCTCTTTGTACATAGTAGTTTAGTTAGTTGAGTTTCATTAGTTTTAGTTAAGAGTGTTAAACTGAAATATGTTTTACTTGGAGCTGAATGATTTTTGTTAATAAACTCTTGTATTTTGAACAGAAGTTGTGGTGAATTTATTCCATGTATGTGGAGTATTAACTGTTTGACCATAATTAGTGCTCTAATCACTCTTTCAGTTATTGTTCTAACACACAGCTAGTAGGGCATATGTTCATAAACAATAAATAAAAGCCAAAATAATATCTGATTAAATAAGATATTTCCACCCCTACCGGGGAGGGAAATAAACATCTTAAAGTATCATAAATGTAAATTTCCAGCTGGCTGGGAATTAAATAGAATATAAATCCACAACACATATATAACTACTGAGGACATATACATAGTATTTCTTTTTGTTGCCGTTGTCTCACTATATTGTCTTTTACATAGTTTCTCCAGAAGAGGGTAGCAGAGCTCTATTCTAAAGAAGGTTAAACCAACGTTTTCTTCCTGTTTTTACAGCCCCTACTTTCCTAACAGTCCCATTAAGGTCTGAATTGATGTGTAAATATTTTCCTTAAAAATACAACTGAAAGAATAAAATGTCTGACCTTATTTAACAGAAAGAAGGGTATAATTTGCATAGGTTTGTGTTCAAACTCAGCTTTTAGAGCAGGGGTCTGCAACTTGCGGCTCCAGAGCCACATGTGGCTCTTTGGATCATCTCCAGCGGCTCTTAAAATGTATATAAAGAGCTAAATAATGTACTATAATGAATACCAGAATTAATGAATGATATTAAAAGAACCAGAAATCTGTTTGAAGAACAATTTTTCTTTGAATTAATGAAGGAATTTTGTGTTTTCATATTATTTTAAAATTTCCTTTATATAATAAAAAGAATAAATAGATTTTTTTTTTTTTTTGTAAAGTGTTATATTTTGCGGCTCTAAACAACCTCGACTTGGTCATACTTGAAGCAAAATGGCTCTTTGGATATGAGAGGTTGCAGACCCCTGCCAGAGGCATTAATGCTGATACTGGCACTTACATGTTTTTGTTTGTAAACCTAAATAGAATTGTTAACTAAGCGTATTAACTCTTTAATTTTTCAATGAGCTGTTTACCTTTTTTTCTTGACTTGTAAACTTTTTTTTTTCTGCTGAGTGTACAGTAGGTAATATATCATTCAAGGGCTCAGCTAATTGGTCAAATGCCAAAATAAGATGTACAGTCATGTAGCAGTATCTTTGCTGAATGGCTGGATATAGATCTTGTGCTTCTAGACCTCACTGAGGGACGGGGGGGACTCCATTTGTAAGAGGCCTGCAAGTGATCAAAAATGCTAACTTACCCTATACGTTAAACGTTAAAACACCCTACCTCTTTTGATCAAACTACCTCCTTTTGATCAAAGGGTGTCACAATTTAAATATTGTATATCGCTAATGAAGGAGAAAACAAATACTCAAACAAGTTTATTTTAAAAAAAGGGGGGAAAAAAAGATGTATTCTACAAAACATTAAACAGGAACACATTGTGGCAAAACTACACTAAACAGCTTCCCTCTAAACCAGTCCATTTCTTTTTTTCCCCCTTTTTTTTATGTCTCCGATTCAGATTAATGAAGTTAAACCAAAAGCTTTAGGCTTCTTTTATGAAAACTGGCTGAGTCCTCATGTAAGGCATGATCTCCGATCAGCCGGTGCATCCTGTGCATCCACAGTGAGCGCACTCAATGATCCTTGCATATTCCAGCTTGCTCTTATCGACTCTGCAGATGCAGCTAATTCCAAAGATGGGGTCCGGTGTTTGGATGCAGTGCAGACAGCAAAGGTTCTTATAGCCGCTTCCGGAGGTGGCGCTCTGCTTCCGGAGATGGCTTTCTGCCTCTGAAGGTGACTTTCTGCTTCCAGTCCATTTTTGGTTTCCCCTGCTGCTCTCTGGAGGCCAGGAAGTTCTCCACCTGGGGAAGGAGTAACAGACTGCCTTATGACAGACAGACAGACACACAGATACTCTGGGTTGTAGAAATGCCAAGCCTCACACGGGAAGCACGTTGCTGGCATCTAGTGGTCGAGGTAACACCTAATTTTGCTTATTTGCAGATTAAATACCCATGTCTCTATTGTCCTTTATGAACCATTGGAAGTTAACTTTCTTGGCTTTCTTTCATTTTTTTTAGGCTAAACAGACCAAAATGTTTTATAAAAGACTTGGAAGTTAATGGTGAACCCCAAACTTGATAACAGAGTGTTAGATCGTCTGCAGGGAGAAGGGGGGGTGTTTGAACCGTAGGATAGAAGACGCTAACGGAGCAAGCAGATTACTGTGGAGTAGTTTTTCTCCTTGTGTCTCCTAGATCTATGCTCATCATCTTCAGAAGTTGCCATTTAGCATCTTCTGCTTTTAGTTTCAGTCCGGTACCAGACCAGCTTATGAACTCTGACCTCTGAATTGTTCTGGAATAGAAAGGCCACTGGACCTCAGTACTGCTGGAGCTGCTGACACGTTCCTACCTCCATCAGAGACTCTTTGATCTGGAGGGCCACGTTGTCTTTCTTGGCCTTCATGTCCTCCAACAGCCTGCAGAAGGACAGCGGCCCCAGAGGCTTCAGAGAGCGGTCCGCCTGGAAACAAAAACATTCAGAATGTCTGGAAGCTTAGATCGTTACGCTTTGGGCTGGACCAGACAGCACAGGGGCCACAGCAGGGCCATGCAATCTTAGAACCACGCTTCGCCATGAGCTGTACCTGGAACTCCGACCACAGGTCCTTTCCTGTGATGCGCACTACTGATGGGATATGGTGGTGGTCCATGAGGTGATAGGTCAACAGGATCCAATCTGGCAGCAGAAATATGACCTGGGCCATGTCTTTGTCTGCTGGTTTAGATTGGTCCCTATGGAAACGATCCACCACTTTCTGAAAGGGATGAGAAATATGAGCCCATGCATCAACCCAAAGGTGGAAACAATTACAGCAGACGGTCCGAGTTCTATAGAACCAGACGGGAAGATGCAAGTCCATGAAGAGGCAGGTCAGCCAGCCTTCCTACCTGCACACCAAGGGCCTCCAGCTTGGACCTCGGACGATTGGCGTTCAAAGGCTGATCGTCAAGCCTGAAGGTCACGCGTCTGGAATACAGGAAGTCACTTCGGTGCACAAAGGTTTCCTCCAGGACCTGTGGCGATACCACTCTTTGCCTCAGACCAGGTAACCCTTCGTAGGTTTCAAACTGCATCATCCTTTCAGTACCAGAGCTCACTGGTTTCAACCTGTGGACTGAACAGAGCAAAACCAGAATTAGAACCAGATCATTTTGTGAGAACAGAAGGACCTGACAGGAAAAAGTCCTAAAAAGCACAAACGGTATTAAATTGGAGGCAAATGGACCTATGTTTTTTTAAGACGTTTTGAAACCTCAGGTGTTAAGGTGCCAAAAAACTGAGCCAAAGTCCGGTTGCTGTGACCCGGATAACTGAGAATTTACACCGGCATTCCTGAAAAGCTTTCTGATTGTGATCGTCCTGGAGCCAAACAGAAGAGCCTGAACATCAGAAGACAGTCAGAGTTTGATCTGATGAAGCACCCAGCAGGCTTCAGCATAGGCCAGGACTATGACTTCAGACCAGACTTGGTTTCGTCAGAAAGGATTGGTGACATGACTTGGAAGTGACTCGATGCTCCCTTCAAAACAAAGTTACTAAGCATAACAATAAGGAAAAATACCGATCCACATTGTTTCTTTGCTCATGTCACCATTTCAGGAAAGGCTTATTCTGCCTCTTAGATTTGGACCCAAGATTCTGCAGCTAACTGAAACGGCTTGTTTAAAAACCACTGTGCCCAATTCAGCAAACTCTGCTGTGACTTGATGTAAAGCTATTGCATGATAATAGCCTCACAACCATCATTTGAAGAAATGAATTCTGATGATTTGTGTTCTTGATTATTAAATGATTAAGAAACTCCCAAAAATCTAATCTATATCAAATGATACAAATTATTAACCATTTAATATCAGCAGTAACCACCGCCATGTTTGACTGTATGAAGTAAGCAGACATGCTGAATGACGACAGCGCTCTAAGAGTGCTTTGGTGATGGTTCGGAGATTTAACACACTAGAACCAAAATGTTCCACTCAAACCCAAGCATGACCTGCTTCTGCTTTGCTCACAGAAGAGAAATCAGTCCATTCGGTCTATAGTTCTCGTTCAGGGGAAGACTTACATAAAAGGGTCCCAATTCCATGAGATTTGAAGCGCTCAGTAGTCACGTTCTCCACCTTGTTAATTTCTCTCTCCTCCAAATCACTTCTGGTTTGGTACCACTCTTTGACCCTGGTGACCTCTGTGCCTGAAACATATGATCATACAGTAGATGCTGGCAGAAGGAACAAACTCTGAACATTAAATTGTTTCTGTCTGACTAACAGTCCAGGTCTTTGTAGGTGGTTAATCAATGGAGGAGGCCATCTTTGGTCAAAGCTGGTGAAAACAGGACAGATGTTTGAGGTTTGGAGAACTTCTTGAAATAAAATAATCAGTCATGCTTCATGTGAGATGTTGATGTAGCTGACCCAAGAGCTGTGGAGGACAAACTTCCTGGGAATAATGCCCTATTAAACAAGAGTTTACAGTTAATGGATGAATGGATGGTGGATGGATGAATGCATGGATGGGTGGATGGGTGGGTGGATGATGGGTGGATGGATGGGTTGATGATGGATGGATGTATCATGGATGCATGATGGGTGGGTGGACAGAAGGGTGGGTGGATGATGGTTGATTGAAGTTGTGTGACGGTTGAATGGTGATTGAATGAAGCTAGGTGATGATTGGATGACAGCTGTATGAGGCTAAGTGATGGTTGGCTGATGGTTGTATGGTGTTAGATCAGACATGGGCAAACTATGGCCCCCGGGCCGTATACGGCCCGTTAGGCTTTTTAATCTGGCCCGCCGAACTTGTCCAAATTACCGTATTTTCACGACTATAAGGTGCACATAAACGTCTTTTTTTTCCCTCAAAATGTGCGGTGCGCCCTATGGTGCGGTGCGCCCTATCTGTATTGTAACTGCGACTTTTCAGACCACCTCATTGAGGAGATGATGAAAGAGTGGCTGAATGTAAGGAG